CCGCGGGCGGCGACTGCGTGACTGCCCTTCCTTTCCCGACCCTCGTTAGAGACGGCGAGGGGCGGGCGCCTAACAGACGGAGGAGGGGAAACCGATCACGGTGGGCTATTGCGCACGGTTTGCCTTTACGGACGCCTCGGAGAGCCGGAACTGCTGCTCTCCTGGCTCCTTACTTCTTGGGGGCTTGTGCACCAAACCAGCAAGAGCTAAAAAAAAAAAAAAAAAATAGTTGTCTTTTCCTTTTCCTTCTTCCAATTCACTGATCCAGAGGCTCGACAACTCTCCCACGTTAGCAAAGCGCACTTGACTTTTTCTTCCAGGGAGGTTCTTTACCCCACGATGGCCCAGAAACAGCAAACAGCTCCCCATTCAACAGCCACTGTAAAGAAATCCAGAGTTTTAACTGCCTGGAGACAAGTGCAGTAGTGGCATCATCTTCTCTTATGAAACCGTTGCAAAAACTACCCAGTCTAGTCCCAGAATTTTCAAGTAGGTAGCAATGTTTACGTGATCGGTTCGATCACAGGCAGTAGCCATAACCCTTGGTTATTTTTAAGCGCCTTGTTAACCTCAGGTTTTAAAGTGCGTAATTTTGTTGCCCTAAGGTGCCCATAGAGACATTGGTTTAAAAAGTGCATACTGTAGGTCTGTCCTTTATCTCTTTCTAATGAAGGTACACATATCGCTTCACTTTGGGGTCTGAATTCTGTATAAACTGGTGGGGGAAGAATGTCATTTTCCTTCTCCAACAGTCAGATAATGAATGCAAGAGAAAGAATATTTTAAATGTTGGTTAGCTGCAGTATAATGCCAAAAATTTTTTCTGCATTCATTTTCTCTGCCTGAGTTTCTCTTATATTTAATTTGAAAGTCCATTGTAGGAGACAGATGATCTCTTTTCAGTTATTGTAAGTTAATAGCTTAGGTAGAAACTCATTTACTCAGATCCTCCAGATATTCTAGGAATTGCCCCTTTCCACCTGCACTTCAGTTCTATGAAAAATAAACCAGTTGCTCAAAGTCCCCATGTACTTTTTATTGAAAGTTCATTTCCTATTACTAGAGAAAATAGACCACAAAACTAGAGATTTCCTATGGACCTATGATTTGTTAAAACAGCCTTTTTATTCATAGTACTATGGGGAAACCAACTCAATTTATACTTTAACCATTTGTATGCCATAAGTGGCTATAGACCAGTGGTTCTTAACCTTCCTAATGCCATGACCCTTTAATACAGTTCCTCATGTTATGGTGACCCCCAATTTCATTGTTACAAATTGAACATAATTAAAGCATAGTGATTAATCACAAAAAACAATATGTAATTATATATGTGTTTTCCGATGGTCTTAGGCGACCCCTGTGAAAGGGCTGTTCGACCCCCAAAGGGGTCGCGACCCACAGGTTGAGAACCGCTGCTATAGACGCAAGTGGCGGACCTTTTTAAATTAAATTCAAAATATTGCAGCATTTAACTGGTTAAATTCTTTTGGATATATATCCAGAAGTGGAAATGCTGGATCATGTAGTAATTCTAGTTTTAATTTTTTTGAAGAACGTCCATACTGTTTTCCACAATGTCTGCACCATTTTACATTCCACAAACAGTGCATAGGGTTCTAATTTCTTCACATCTTCACCAACATTTATTTTCTGTACTTTTTAGTAGCCATTCTAATGGGTGTGAGGTTTTGATTTGCATTTTCCTAGTGATTAGTGATGATAAGCACCTTTTCATATGCCTGTTGGCCATTTGTGTATCTTCTTTGGAGAATTGTCTAGTCAAGTCCTTTACCCATTTTTAATTCCATTTATCTTTTTGTTGTTGTAAAGTGTGGGGTTTTTTTAATGAGGAAAATCACATTTTACTACTATAAATTCAGAGAGGTTTTCTTTCATCTCTTTTTACCTTGCTCTCCATCTTTAATCCTTTACCCAGAATCTAACCCCTTCCCATCCCTTCACTATACGGTCTAAACTACCATATTTCTCTCCTACTCTTCTGTTTCCACCCTTGTCCCTCCTCCCAACAGTCTGCGGTCACTCCTTTGGTGGAAATTCTTTGGGTGGCTTCCTAACTTGAACAGAGCCAAGGACTGAAGTCCTTTTCCTTGAACTACAAAACGACTCATTCAGCACTCCGCAACTTCTGAACTCTCAGACCTCGTCTCCTACCTCTCTTCCTCATTCTCACAAGCCTCCTCCTCACTGTTCCTTGAACATATCAGGCGTTCCACCTCAGGGCCTTTGCATTGCCATTTCCTCTGCATGACTTGCTGTCACCCCAACATCCACATGGCTCACTCCCTCACATTCTGTCACTTTCTGGCTGAGATGCTCCTTACACACTATTGAAAGCCAGCCCCAAACCCACCCCACCCACTGATACAAGCACACTGGTGCACAATTTCTAGTTCCCTTCCCTAGTTCAACATATTACATGTTTAATCCATTTGTTTGTCTCCCCACTAAACTATAACTTCATGAGGAGATGGAACTGTATGTGTTTTATTCCCTGCCATATTCCTAGTACCTAAACCAGTACTTGGCACACAGTGGGCACTTTAATTATATTTGTTGAATAAATGAGTGGATTTTGAGGCAAAGAGGATTGAATAATAGGAATGTAACTACCATGTGCATCTCCTACCTGTCTTGAGCTTCACTTGCTCTTTTGCCTTTCCACCACTACAAAGACTGAGACAATTATTATAGACTAGAGGCCCAGCGCACGATTAAATCGTGTGTGTGTAGGGTCCCCTAGGCCTCGCCTGCCATCAGGGCCATGTCCGCCGCCCTGCAATGCCTCGATGCCTTGCATGCTCCACTGACGCTGCCGGCGCCCCATGATGCTCCGCCAACGCTGCTGGCACCCTGGGGTGGGGGTGGGTGGGGGGAGGGCCCAAGAGGTGCTCCAGCAGCTCCTGGTGACCAGTTGTATGGTCGTTTCGCCGTTACGTTGTCACGACCACAGGCCTTTTATGATATAGATTCCCGTTGAACCGCAAATTTTTTAAAATATATTTTTATTGTTGATAGTATTACAGATATCTCCCATTTCCCCCCATTTCCCCCCTCCTCCCAGCCCCTACCCACCCGAACTGCAAATTTTACAACAAAATGTTGACTGCCTCCTGTGTTCAAGAGTTTCACTTGTCTCCTTCAGCCTGAATGTGGGCCTTTGCCTATAACACTCAGATACATGTTGATTAATTGATTTGAAAAAACAGAGGATGAAAACAGCAACTTTCCATTGGAGAATCCTGGCTGATACCATCCAACCCAAGTGATCAAGGTTAACATCACCAGTTACCTCATGCTGATGTCATGTAGTACCTGATATGATGCAAATAAGAAGGACATTTGACCTCCCTGCTCTTCTTCCCAAAACGCATAACCCCAATCAAATCCTGAGAAAAAAAAAATCAGACTCAAATTGAGGAGTATTCTACAGAATACCTAACAAGGAATCCTCAAAACTGTCAAGGTCATAAAAAAAAACAACAGCAAAGAACTAACTGTCCCAGACCTGAGGAGACTAAGGAGACAATGATTAAATGTCATCATGTAGGACCTCAGTGGAATCCTGGAGTAGAAAAAGGACAGCAGTGAAAAACTGGGGAAATCTGAATAAAGTCTGCAGTTTAGTTAAGTAACAATGTACCAATGTTGACTTTTTGGTTTTGAAATATGTACAGTGATTATGCAAGATGATAATATTTGGGGAATCTGGGTGATTGTATATGGGAACTCTCTGTGCTATATTTGCAACTTTTCTATAAATCTAAAACTATTCCAAAATAAAAAAAATGTTTTAAAAAAAGTAATTTGCATTTCTACACACTAGCAATAATATCTTTAAATTTTTTAAAAGATTAAATTTACAATAGCAATAACAACCAGAAAATAAACACCAGCATTTTCCTCACAGTGCTCAGTTACATATTAGTCTTTTTAAAGGAAGACCGTGAAGAGGCATGGACAAAAACCCCTGAAAGGCTGACAGGAGAGTCCGCTCTCTTCTGTTTTGGCAGGAATGGGAGAAACAACAGTTCAACCACTATTCATGGAGCGCCTACTATGTGCCAGGTACTGTGGATTTTAGATGCTTTAAAATGAGGAAGTTAATTAATTTAAAAGTCATTAGATTTAATTTCCACACAGCACATTTTCCTTTAGGTGGAGTAGGCTGCTGTTCCCATAAACTACTTGAGCTTTGTCATTTCCCTCTTTTCATTGTTTAAACAACCCTATAATATTTTCTTAGGCTTAACAAAATATATTTCACATTTTTGTGGCATTTTACAGCTTGCAAAGCACACATCTTTTATCTCACAGGATTATCCTGTGCATCATAGAAATGAATGGAGTAATGGTTACGAACCTGGACTCTTTAGCCAGACGGCAGGGATTGGAATAACACTCGCTATATGTGAGCTTGGGCAAGACTTTTTGGTTTCCACAGCTAAAAAGTGAACATAAAAAAAGTGCCTAATTCAATGGGTTGTTATGAGAGCATTAAGTGAGTAATAATATGTGTAAAGTGCTTAATCTAGAACCTGACACAAATAAATGCCATGTGTTAGATAAACTCCTTATTGTATATGTGAAGACACAGACTTAGAAAGCTCTAGTTTTTTTTCCCCACGTGATTCATCCAGTAATTGTATAGC